TCCTCTAGTTCTTGTTGGGTGGGAAGAGCTTGTTCCAGTTGCAGACTTTTTTTGCTCCCAGTCTGGTTCTTTACAGGGGATCGCGGTCCTTGTTGACCCGCGTGACGACCGATGCGGTTTATCAATATTTTTCGTTGTGTCAGTATTAGAGTTAGTTCGTATTTACACACACGTGGGGCCTGATTCCTGGGCGCCAGAGTATATCCATATCATCACGGTCAGGGTGCCAGACCTCCCCAGGATATTTTTATTCAATTATTTTGTATATTTATTCAGTTATTTATTTACTGTTGCTATTATGAACAACAACGGTAAAAATCTTCGTTTATAAGCGTTTAGATCACAAGGAGATACGATGTGCTTCACCAGATTCCGACTTAACTTATTATTATTATTTTTTGTAGTTGATTAGTTAGCAACAGCCATTAATTAATAACTGTAGTATTAATAATTAAAAATAATAATCTATCTATCTATCTATGAATAAAGACAAAAGGAGAACTTAGCTGACGCATTTCCCTCACAGGACGAAACGCGTCGGTTAAGATAAGTTTTCCTTTTGTCTTTAATCGTATTGTCCTTTTACAGATATACTCTATCTCAAATTATCACATTATCTATCTATCTCATACGTATCTATCTCATTCTGTTCATTTCTTTTCCTCGTATATATATATATATATATATATATATATATCAGTGGCGACTCCAGGGGTCGGGTTTGTCGGGCTCAACCCGAGTGAGTCAACATTATTTAAGTATACCTATTTTGAAGCAACAGAAATCCTTCGTAGTGCGTCATTTTCATTCTTGAGTTGTTTTTCATCTTTTAATTATTATTCATTCATCGACAAGGGAAATAAAGTGACCGCAAGTCCCTCCAATACGCTAACATTGTTTTTGTATTCTAGCTGTTTTCTGTAATGCTTTTGCATTTTCCTACTTTTCCCTTCATTTCAATTCCTTTAATCTATTTCCCAGACTATTCGGAACGATTTCCAGTGTTCTGATAGCAACTGGTACGGTTTTCACAACTACCTCATTTCCCTGACAATATCAAGTTACTTATCTAACTTTTCACTTTATACTATCTGATCTGAAAAAAATACCATCTTGTATACCATGTTCTTGTTTAATATTAATCTTTCTGTATACCTTCTTGTAGATATTTATTATGTAAAAATTACATAATTGTGGCACAAGGCCGAAAAAGGGGGGGGGTTAAGGCTGGTCCACACTAACTATCTTATACCTAGCTAATCCGATTCACGACCCATTTACTCATTATAATTTACCCATTCACCACAAGAACTCGTCCATCACCAATCAATCCTGCATGCATCATAATACCACATCCTCTCTAGGGGGACATACAAAACGCGTCCTATGCCATAACATTTAATGATAGTAAAATATATATAAAATCTGTGATGAAAAAATGAGAGGGAAGGGAGATGAACCCAGTAACAAACTGAAATATTAACACAAATCAAATTAAACATAACTGATGTTAGTAGGGCCCGTCCAACCCTCAAAAAGGAGAGGCCGCTTCATTCTGCCCATTGGACAAAATCAAGAAGCTCTCTCACTACGGGTGTGGGAAAAGGATAAAAATAATACGGGCAGCATGGGAAAATATAAAGCTGACCCAGTCGAGATGAAAAAGGGTGGCCAAAACAAACTGGGGGGGGGATCAAGACTTGAATCATAACCAAAGAGGCAGCCGGGAACAGGCCAGGAACAACACTTACTTCTTGTATACAGCATATTCTTGTTTAATAATAACATATTCAGTCGGCTGCCCTGGATTGGGTGATTCGTCTGAATCCCAAAATCTTAGAGGATTTTTGTTTAATCCTCAGAACATTATTTGGTCAGTGCTTCAATAGTAGTAGTAGTAATAATAGTAGTAGTATTCCATATGGCTTGCTTTTTCAACCGAAGATCTTGTATTAGGAGTGTTCCTCATCTAGTCGTACGACGTCAGGACAGATAAGCGCTTTCACAGAATATTTTTGAAGCGATGGGATACATGATTTTATTCTGATTTTCTCGATGTAGGACTTTAAGTTCGGTGGTATCGACCTCAACGCCCAAATAATAACCAGAACAATAGAACCCTGAACGTCCCATATTTCTAACAATTTCAATCCGGCGGTCGGTGGATGTGTTGTTTGTCATTTTCTTTAACTTCGATATTATGATCACCAGGGACATCCACATAGAGGAGGGGCACATATTCTTGTTTCTTTTTCCAAGACGCTGATTTAGAGGACACAAGGACGCGATCTGTTTGGATGTTGAAGTCCTACAAGATCTCGCTGATGGCGGTACAGTTTCTCGTGGATTTCAAGTCTATACTTTCCATATAGACAACATACAGAGATTTATTTACCCATTTTTTGCTCAGATGCTCACCAAATATCTAACTCACAATCAGTAGCAAATGGCTGTCCCTTGCTCCAGGTCAGGCATCTTTCTATAAATAACTATCAGTATTTATTAAATTCTTCTACATATCCAAACTTCAATTTTGTATTGATTTATTTGCAATGTCGCAAAAAAAAATTTCCAGAATACTTTCATTTATGTGTAATTGTACATGCTGCATTCGAATCTGGCTTAATAAATTTGATAAAATCTACCGTTTTGATGTTATCGGCAGTAAAAGTCAGGATTCATTCGCGTCGCGAGCAGCTATTACTGTTTGCATACATTCGCTGCAGAATAGCTATCAGTGTAGATATCATTGCGCAAACTGAGCGTGCCTACGTAAATAGTCGTGATTGATATAGCATTTAAATGTTTAATATTGTAGCTTACAGTGAAGCAAGAAGCAGAAAGAGTATTGCACAGGCAAGAAGTGTGAGAGAAGTAACTATCAAAATAGAACTTACGGTTGTTTCTAACTATTTTAATGAGAACTGCCAATCTAATAATACTTCTAAATTCATGCGATCGGGGAGCTAAGAATGAGAGCTTATTAGAACAACTATCAGGGAAAAAATTATAAAAAAAGACAGATACTGAGATGCCAGGTCATGATCGATAACATTGCAGACCCTTCATTGAATTCTGTCAAGAATCTTTTGCTAATCCGTTGAATTTTGTTAAGAATATACAGCAGGACCACCGGACCAGAGATAGAAGTGATATTCAGTGCACGGATGAATGGTAGATTTATAAATGTGCAAGATGGATTCTGACGAGAAAAATTGTCTGACGCAACATAGTTAATCAACTTTACAAGCATTTATCTGAATATTGGTTAATTTGCCGTGTGACACTCACGCTCAGTTTGCATTAAAAATTTCCACATTACTAATATTTATGTGTGATTGGACATGTTCCATTCGAATCTGGCTTGATAAATGTGATAAAATCTAACGTTTTGTAGTTATCGACAGTGAACGTTCGGATTCATCTAAAAGTTCGACGTTGCTGAACTTTGCTGATCGTACTACAACCGGTTTTCAACGTGATATGGCCGTAAACCTCGCGATCACCAGAAACCGTTTTGAAGAAGTTCCGGTTTCGTTGGTTGCACTAATTCTTTTGGCCTTGTGTCAGAATAGGTTAAAATTAATAGCTGTGTAGTGTTATTGAAAGTATATCTACTGTAGACCCATTGTTCGCAAGCTAACTGTAGGTAAACCTGCATTTCGTGAAGTGTGTGACTTTGTCTTCGGTTAATGAATATCTCATCACGCATAATGCCTCCAGCCATTTTGGTTCATCAAAGTTTTTGGTGTTCTGCATCTACATGCTTTTTTTTCCAGTTTCACATGTTACCCCAAATATTAGGCATGAGTTAATTGTTAGCGAAGCTACTCTGAATATTGCTACAATCTTCACTGGGTACCATAATTATGGGTACCATATTCTGGGTACCATATTTTTTGTACCACATTTTGGGTACCATAATTGGACTTTGAATAACAGGAATTATAAACAATTTTTCCTTTGACGAAAATTGAATTACCTATCCATTTCTGATAGTCTTAATATAAACATCGTTGGCTACTTTCATTGAGCACTTTATTCTCAATCTTTCGTTCTTTCTTCTTTTAGTTTGTATTACATAATGGAATCGGCTGAAGTCATGTCTTATTCAAGATTTCAACCTTAGCATAGACGCCTCAGTATCGGGGGAATGATTAACGAGGGTCGTCTTTTTTGACCATTACTATTTGGTTGTGAGTTCGATGTTCAGAGTGCTTCATACAAAATTCAATATTAAATAACTCAATAAGATACACAAAATAAAAACAAATTCTTAAAATCAAATAACCGAATATTCCTCCTGTTAGAATTTTTGGGTACTATGTACTAGTGAGCCAACCAAAATGAGCTGATTCATTTTATAGTTCACCAATAGAAGGGTTAACCAATCAGAAAGCTCAAAATATTCAATCCGACGTGTATAAAGGCAGCCATTTTGTTTTTTCTCCCAAAATATCTTCACTGACAACCTCTGATATCGAAGACTTAAAGAATTACTTAACAGCTGCTACTTTCTCCGAATCTTCACTGCCAACCTCTGATATTGAACACATTACGGACTTCACTGAATTCTATATTCAGAGAATACGACAAACATGGTTAACACCGCCAACATTCTTGTTGGCTCCAACTTTATTTTAGTCTTCTTCTTCCTTGTCTTCGTTACTTTTACTCAAACTTTTGATGCTTCTAAGTTAGCTGAGTGCTGACCCTGCAAAGCCATTCAAAGTGTCCTCAACCATCGTCTTCTGCTTTGTCGTATAAAATGGATCTGCACAGAGGTTTTGCTTTTCTTTGCATCCTACACCGGCCATTTCACTTTCTCGGGATTTATCGGCGTTTCTCCTTCCATGTCACACTATTTATTCGTATCGTACTGTAACATCTATTAGAGCCCCGTCGTCTATGTGTGTTTATATAGGGCAGACAAGGCGAACGTGTAGATAAACTTGTACGTTGGGTCACTTTAATGGCCACAACTTATCATCACTTGACCAATGATCTATGGCTATCTGCAGATCCTTATCCGAGATGTTCAGCCGTCCAAACGTTTTGCCGTCAGAGTCACATATCCTTTTCCTTTTCAACTTTATTCTTTCTATTACTTTTTTCTTAAAACTGGTAAAATCCAAAATATTTGCTTGAAGCGAAAACTGCTAATTATCGTTTGAACCACCAAACCGCTCGATTGACTTATTTACGTTGTATTGGGTTTTTTGAGTTTTAAGAAGTCAAGAATATAGTATTTTTTCACAAATGTTCACCCAAAACAAGGCTCAAGCGTCACTCAATGTAGAGGGTTAATATGCAGTATTGTATGAGTGTAAGAAAGGACAAGAAGTGAAGTTCTTAGGGCTATGCAGGAAATATAACGGCTAACTCTAGACTTGATGAGGTCAAGATTTAATTAGTGAATAACATTTCACTAATTAGATGATAGAAATTGAGTGTGGAAGTAGACTTTAGAAGGAACTGGAAACCCACTCCTAATCAAGAAACAATGGATAAACGTCTACTCTAGTTCAAAAGACAGGGGAGGAGTGTGAACCGGGCGATAACCAAACCTATCTATTCCATTGAGGAAAAATGTAAATAAATAGTA